ATATTAAGCCGCATCATCCTGGAGAGGCTTAAAGATGCACTGGATTCAAAACTGCGACCGGAACAGGCAGGCTTCAGGAAGTACAAATCATGTGCAGACCAAATTGCAACGCTTTGCATCATCATAGAACAGAGTATAGAATGGCAATCAGCTCTCTACCTCAACTTCATCGACTTTGAGAAGGCCTTTGACAGCGTCGACCGAGAAGTGATTTAGAAACTGCTTCAATACTACGGAGTACCACAAACCTTTATCCGCCTCATTCAACAACTATATGAAGATGCCACATGCCAAGTAATTCACAATGGGAAGCTCAGTGATGCTTTTGAAGTGAAGTGAAGACAGGAGTGAAACAAGGTTGCCTACTATCCCCCATGATATTCCTGACTGTGGTGGACTGGATCATGCAGCAAACAGTGGGGAGTGAGAAGAGGGGGATACGCTGGCTGGACTGCGGAAAAGAACCTAGAAGACTTGGATTTCGCCAACGATGACTTGTGTTTGATGTCACATAAACTTGAAGATCTACAGGCAAAAACTAACAAGTTGATAGAAGAGGCAGCTAAGACGGGACTTCAAGTGAATATAGAGAAGACAGAAGTGATGAAGATACCGCACCACCACCACCAACAACAAACTCCAGTCACCATCAACGGGAGAAACTTAAAGGAAGTAACCTGCTTCACTTATCTAGGAAGCACTGTTTCAACTACAGGCCGCAGTTGTGGCACAGACGAGGATGTCAAAGTCAGAATCGGAAAGGCAAGACAGGCGTTCATTAGCCTGAAACCAGTGTGGAGATCTTCTGCACTCAGCATGTGGAACAAGATCCGGATTTTCAACACCAATGTCAAGTCAGTGCTTCTGTATAGTTCAGAGACCTGGCGCATCACGAAAGGGATTTTCAATAAACTACAGACATTCATCAACAACTGCTTACGCTCACTCGCTACTGAAGATCAGATGGCCAGAAAGAATAAGCAACAAGAAACTCTGGCTGGCGACGAACCAACCAAGAACCTATCACGCAACAAATATGCAGGAAGAAGTGGAGATGGATTGGCCATGCACTGAGAAGGCCGACTGAGGACATCACGCGTCAGGCCCTCGAGTGGAATCCCCATGGTAAGCGACGAGTTGGACGTCCGAGGGTGACATGGAGGAGGTCGTGCGAGGAGGAAATGAGAGGTTGTGGGCTGTCGTGGGACCAGGTTCAAAAGATCTCAAAGAACAGAGGTCACTGGAGGCGTGCTACTGAAGCCCTATGTTCCACTAGGAACCCAAGGGACTAATAATAATAATAATAATAATAGAACGGCAGACCCCAATAAGATCAATAACCTAGAAAAACACTCAGCCATTGCATTACATTCATTAACACACAACCACACAATAGGATGGGACAAAACCACTGTACTTAAGTCTAATATAGCTAGGTGGAGAGAGAGATTAATTACTGAATCCTTGTTCATCGAATCCACACCCAACACATGTAATCGGAATGACGCAACACCTATACCAGAGATATGGAAAACTTTACTACCAATCGAAAAACAAAAAAACAAAGAGAGATCAGGTGACAGGACTATAAAATCAGATGTCGAAAGAAGTGTGATTACATTGATATGATTATGAGCAATAATTTATGCTCGAAACGTAATCAATTAAATAATACTGTATCACTGTGCGCTTTATATCAAATAAACAAATCTAATATGGTCAGAATTCCCCTAAGGTCCCGGCATAATAAATCTGATGTATTCCCTAGGGAGATTAAGATGAGCGAGTTCGAGACCGTGAGACGGAGGTGGATTGGTGAGTGATTCAGTTGCTTGCCGTTGACCAACCCACATCCAACCATCGAATGGTTGGACCGTGAGCTAGAGTTGTTATCAGCCTTGTTCCGGGTCAAGGAATCTTGTACTAGTCTTCAGTCAGGCAGGCTGGTGGACGTGGTAACCTTTGGTTCTGCTTCCCCGCCTGTAAACAGTGCCCTAAAGCCGGCCCTTTAAAGGTTGGCAGCACACTCATGAGTCTACCTGCCTCTGCGACATCCGGCATTCATACTTCCATTTACTGTATCTGCAGTAATTTGCGTGGTCTGCGCTCCAGGATACCAGAATTAAAGCTATTGGTTGATGTGAATAGTCCCAGTGTGGTGGCTTTCTGTGAAACATTGTTCACAGAGAACAGAAAAGATGAGGAAATTCGTCTGAGATGGATCAACCTAATTCAAGAGGATAGATCCGAGCGCTGGGGAGGCGAAGTTGTTCCTCAGACTTCTTCTTCCTTGAAAACCTATGGGGTTTTCTCCCATAGAATTACTACTAAAGATGTACTCTGGAGTTGCATTAAGTGCTGCGGAAGTCTCATGCAGACATCCTGGAGCCATTGCAACGTCGAATAAGATGTTGATACAATTCACTAGAGGAGCTCTGGAACTGAGCTTTCTACATGTCCTCATTACGGAAGACTTTAACTTCCATCAACCCTTACACCGAAGGTTCATCTACTGCTTCAAGAGATTTTCGGGAATTGTTACTGGAAAACTCTCAGAATGAACATGTCCATCAGTGCGCTCTCTAGGGGCCCGGCGATAAGGCATTCCGACTGGATTATATTTTCACAAATACGTTTGCTGGGTAACCAACCAAAATCTTCTTAGCCCTCCTGGATTGAGTGGCCATGTGGATATTTCTTTCACCATTTCTATGTCTAAGCCATCTGCTCGTGGTCACCCATCGGCCGGAAACTATAGGGGAACTAAAGTTGAAAAGGTCCAGCAAGATCTAGAAGGCTCCCCTTGCTCAAATTGCGATGACCTACTGGATGGGACCTGCTGAAGGACACAATCCTTTAAATGGCAAATAATAATATCCCTCTGATTCCAAGGAGAACCAAAAAGTTTTACTCCCCTTAGCTTCTGCCAACCACGTGTAAACTTACGCGGCGCAGACGGTCAGCTTGGAATCAACGGAGGACCGCCAATAGCTCTGGCGAGTGGTTAAACTACAAGGACATCTATGCCAGATGTGCGATAAGAATCAAAATGACAGAGAAAACTACCAGGTACAACTGGGCACAATCGTGAAGGGAAATCATGAGATATTTTACTCGCTGACAAAACATAAGGGTGACAGTTGACTTGGTATGCAAGAGGCCAGTAGTTTAGAAACTTCCCACATCAATTCCGAGATCTCGGGCTAACTAGCTCATGAATCCCAGAACAACTTATGTCAGTTGGGAGGTACAATCACGTATCTGCCGGCCACCTGTATTACAGAGGGATTAAGCCACACTGAGTTTGAATCTTCTATGGGTAAGGAATCCTAAAGAACTTGTGCCCGAAAAAGTCTTCGGGAACTGATGAGATTCACCTAAGAGTACTCAGCGTCCCGGCGTTTTGAGTCCCCCACTTGTAAACTTCTTCAGATCCCCGTTTTTGGAGGGCAGCTTACACTCTGATTGAAAGCTGGTGGCCGTCGTCTCAGTATATAAGGGTAGGAACAAGCTATTCGCATTTAAATGCAGACCAATCTCCCTCATCTCTACAGTTGCGAAGGTCACGAAAAAAGTAACGCATGACTCAGTACGTCATCACTGACTCGAGAATCCAACCTTAACCTACCGTCAGCACGGTTTTTTACCCACACGGTGGTGTAGCACCAACTTTATGATAGCCTGGAAAGGCTAAGCTTCCCTCTATTGGGTTTGCCTGAATTTTCTAGGGCCTTTGGCAGGGTAAATCACGATACCCCCCGTAGGAAACTTCAGCTTATGGGTTACACGAAAAATCAATAATTTGGCTTGGAGAATATCTTTGCATTAAGTTGTAGTCAGTTAGAGTTAGCTCCCCTCTATCTGACTGGTTCCTGACTCTGAGTGGTGCGCCTTAATGTTCTATTCCGGGTTCACTGCTGTTTCTTGCCTTCATCAATGACCTACCAGAGGTACTTAATTCACATTCACTACTATATGCCGATGATCTGAAGATTTGAAGGGAAATACAGATGCCAACAGATATTTCAGTCTTCCAGGAGGACCTTACAAAAATCCTAAATTAGACCACAGAAAACCGGCTTCCTCTCAACTCGAAGAGTTGACAAGCATAGAGGCAGTCCCAGTTCTTACTCTCTGGGTGAAACAAATATCCGTCACCCTAACATGGAACAAGATCTGGGAGTTACACTAGACGATACAATAGAAGCCTCAGTCCACCATTGCCTTGCAGCCAATAGGAACTATGGAATCCTGGAGTTTCTCTCCAGAACTTTAGGGTGTCCAGCTCCTCTTCTCACCACAGTGTCCGCTCTGTACATTCGCCATCATCTAGAAAAACTTTCGCTTGTGATGTCCGCATACTTGAAAAAGGACATAGCCATCCTTGAACGGGTACAGAGAAGAGCTGCAAAGAAAGTGATTGGGTTACGGCACAAACCGTACCCAGACCGCCCAGTTACTCTTCAGCTGCACCCAGAACAATACCGGAGGATCAGAGGGGGTATGATAGTGATATACCACACCGCTCATAATTACCTCCATCCTAACAGATCTCTTCTAATCTTTAGTCGGAAATGCGACCTGAGGGGTCACCAGTCAGGAATAGAGCACTAGAGAGCATATACAAAGATACATACTACCTCATTTGTGACTAGAGTATGTAAACTGTGGAACTCCCTGCCTTCAGCACTTGTTACAGCCCCATCCTCTGATACTTTTAAGAGGAGGTTGGACGCACACCTCAAGCCCTACGGTACCGATGGGCTGTAGTCGAGAGGCTTTCACCATATCAGATGCAGTAATACTAGCTTCAGACCAGATAAATTAATAATCGTATCTCTATCCTTTCAGGTTTTTCAGAGCCGGGAAGATAATTTTGACCATTCCAAGCTCAGAACGTATCTTAATAAGACAGACGTAAAACCCAAGGAACCACCGTTCACTAATTCTACAACACGAAGTTTGAAGTATTAGGATATTGGATATTGGACCTAGGCTGCATATTTCACTAGATGCGTCACATTAAGATGCTGACCTTGTTTGGTCAAAGATGTTCGTTAAGGCTTGTCCACACATCGTGTTCACGTTTAGCAACCACAGAACCAAGGTTAGCTGTAAATTTATTACCAATTCAAGTGCAGCAAGCCGTCTGAACCGTCTATTCCTGATGAGTCGATACCATTTAAGCCGTACAGTCCATTTCCAAAGCCACAGGGAAGGATGGAATATGTGGTAACACGCCTTGATGACCTAGCAAATTGGGCCAGAAAGGTGGGACCATCATGTTACTTGTTTTATACTGTAGAATTCCATTTACCCTCTTACTTTTGGTCTTGCCTGCTGCGCTGTCGAAATGATGCACATCGCTGGACCTCGTTATGATATGGATCGTTATGGAGTAGTTTTCCGAGCTAGCCCCCGACAAGCTGACCTCTTGATTGTTTCTGGAACTGTCACAAATAAAATGGCGCCGGCTCTTCGTAGAATTTATGACCAGATGACTCCTCCAAAGTGGGTGATTTCAATGGGTTCTTGTGCCAACGGCGGTGGCTACTATCACTATTCCTATAGTGTTCTACGTGGGTGTGATCGCATTATTCCTGTCGATATATACGTCCCAGGTATGCTACAAATTCTCTATTGTTTGCTTCCTTAATTTTTGCTTGTTTAATGCCTCAGACTATAGCAATTGCCAGGTACGTCTTACACTTGAATTTCACTGGAATAGAGGTGGATTTCGCTTTATATACTTGTTAAAGTTCAGCTTCAGGACGTAAATCCACAAGGGGAGACAACTTTGAAAACATGAAGTTATGATGAGACTTAAGAGTTTTGCCGTCCATGAGTGGTTTTAGTTTTAGTTTTCACCTATAAGGATAGTAGGCCAGTTGGCCTGTGTTAATCATTGCAGATGTCTCTGTGAAGAGCTAGTTTCTCCTTGAACGTGTTGATATGTGCTGATACTATTTGCTAAGGTAAGGAGTTCCAGTCGTTGACTACACGATGTGAGAAACGCAAATTCACTCGAAGTTGATTCGATCACGGCTTTCGAATTTCTTTTTGATGCCCTCGGAGATAGTCAATTCTAGCAGGCGAGAAAAGATAGGACATATAAGTACTGAAGTCATTAATGAAGAAACGGAATGCAAGTATGATATTACCCCGTTTTCTACGGTTAGACAGTGGGAATAAGTTTGGCCGATTTTGTCGATCCTCATAGGACAGATTCGAAAGGATTTCCACAAGCTCAGTACCTGCCCTTTAAACACGTTTGAGTACGTCAGCATCCTTTTTAAGGCATAGGCTGGACGTCTGAATGCAGTTTTCCAAGTGAGGTCTAACGTAAGTAGAATAGAGTATTCTGAACATTTCCTGATCAAAACTTTTGAAAGCTCTATGGATGAACCGTAATGCGCGTAATCCCTTTGCTGCAGCTACATTACAGTTTGCCGAGGTTTTCAAATCATGAATCATGATAACGCTTAGGTCTTTCAGTTCAAAAACTGGAAGTAGTGGTGTACCATCGATGGAGTACTGGAAACAATTACTACGACCAGTGTGCATTATTGCACTTTTATCAGAGCTGATTTTCAGATACCAAAGTTTGAATCAACCTACCAGTTCAGCCTAATCCGCTTGAAGTGCATATATATGTGTTGAGTCGTATTTTTGAACCAATAAAAAGTGACGGTAAGTGGCACTGTATACGATCATTTTACGGTATTTGCCAGTTATACACATTTTTGTTGCCGAAAATGAAATGCTCTTAGCAACCTTTTCCTCATTCATGCAGTAAGCAATGAGCCACACTTGTTGTGTGAGGGTTTATGATACTATCTGACTGCCCAAACCTCGGTAAGAGGGTTGGGGTTCGAGCACGTGACTCACTATTTAAAAGTCAACTGCCTAAACTAATGAGCTACAGGTCCATGATAATAATTCACGCACCATATTATCATATCTTTATTCAAACTCTTGGATCCCAACACTTAAAAACAGATAGTGCTCCCTGCTAGCTCGTAAAACAAATAAAATGAGCTCATTAGTTTCTGCTGTACGAGTTTGTGTTAAACTGCTATACTTTAAGAAGTAAACTTCCTGCCTAACTCTGTAACTGATATCCACTTGTGTTACCAAACTTTGACTGTTGAACCTAGATGAGTATTTGTGACGGTAATTCCAAACCCAATAGAGAGAGATTTCTTATCACTAAAAATATGAAAATCGAGCGAGTTCTACATTATTTTGCTTGTAATAATGTCCTGAACATTCTTGTAGCCTTTACATGTTAAAAATCAGTAAAACAAAACCATTGGCTTTGATTGCTCATTTCAACGTCACTTAAGAGTTGCTTCAGGACAATAGTCCCTGTTCATTTTACGAAACTTCTTGCAGGCTCATGTCCTAGCATTGACATGTTAGGTATACATCCATTTCATGCCTGGCTGACTTATGTAGACATGTTCAACCATCTCTACGAAAACAACTTTCGAGATTTTATTTTAAGGTTATTAAAATCAAGTCTTAACTTTGACATGGCGCTTAAAAGTGGGTCTGAATAAACTACAAGTTTTTGACCACAGGTTTATTCGTAACATTGTTCACTTGCGGTGGGATCACCATGTTACCAACGTTGAGACTATATGGGGAGTACTAGGTAAAACAGGCAAATCGACTAATGGAGTTGTGAGTCTTCACCGATTGAGGTATCTTGGACATGTGCAGTGTACGTTGAGCTACTGCCTACCTCGACGTGCAATGCTAAAAGACGTTGGATTAAGCTGGAATAAGATTCAGGATAGCCAGCATAAGACGCGGCATCTTTTAGTGAAGTTTTTGACCTTATCGGGGTCATATAGAGAGGTATGCGTAGTTCAGACCCTTGAGATAATAAAAATCTGTGATTTAAGACCGTTAGTTACATCGTTGAGAACCAATCACAATGGTCCCGACATATTCACCACTTGACATCTTTTAAAACTTGAACATTTCCACTAATTCATTTTGAAAATTTCTTCTCCCCTTTGTCTTTGTCTGCTTTTATATCAGTCTTTACCCATTTGTCCTTTTCATGCTGTTGTGAAATGTAGTAGATTGAACTGATGCACTTGCATTCGAGGTTCTACGTTGATTTTGTCTATCTCTCTGTCTGTCCATCTGCGGTAACTAACGCCCCTGGTGACGTACGAAAGTTTCACATTCTAGTTCTATTAGATAAGACGAAAAGCAGTTACCGTTGTAGTGGGAATTACTACACTATGATGGGGGTCTGAAGTTGAAGTCTTACTGTTGCTGGCTGGATGGGGTGTGACATCCATCCAGACCGGTAGCTGCTACCTTGACGTGGTGGTCGGGCTTGCATATCACAATGACTCAACGAGCAATGCTGGTGGAACACTTGTTCCCTCGAGGTCCTACCATGCCACAAAGGTCTGTTGGATAGTGGTTAGACGAAAAGCAGCTACCGCTGTGGTGTAAATTACTACACTACGATGGGGGTCTGAGGGCGAAGTCGTACTGCTGTTAGCTGGATAGGGTGTGACAGCAGTAAGGTGTTTCCCTTAGATGACCACCAGTGCCACGTTGATGCCGCCTTCTCAACTGAAGGGGCATTAGAAAAGGTCGACCCAAAAAATAACACTCCACCCCACGGTCTCCCGATGCCGGTGTCATGGGTTCTCTCTCTATCCGGCGTTAGAACGACTAAACCTCAAAAAACAACCCGACAAAAAAGTGTGACAGGCTTCAAGCAGGTGTCGCATGGGCTCTCTGGCCACACAAATCTTTTTTTCTTTTAGTTACCTTAAGAAGAAACAGCCTTCTACGGTGCAAACAGCCGTAAAGTGTCAGCCGCTCACACGCTTTCAGTAATGCACGAAATCCAATCAACGGTAACTTAACTCTGTCTCCTGCTTTTCCTTCACCTGATACTAATATTAGGCCTCTTACGCCTTACTCGGCCTCTCAGCCTGCAAACGTTATCAACAATCAAAGCCATCGAAACCTTATTCCTAGTCTCCTAAGACCCCGCCATCGATTTCATGTAGGATCTCTCAATGTCTGAATCCTTCACCAAACCGGACAGAATGCAACGCTCGCCAAAATTCTAGTATCCCTAGCCATGGGTGTATGTTGTTTCTCTGATACAGGATCCGAGTGTGGTTATTAAATCGACCTCACTTGGTCATATTAGTGAATCTTCGAAATTTACCTTACGAGTATCCAAATACTCAGTGGCTAACTCGTGGACTCGCTGGTATGCATGGACATAGCATTGAGTTGTCGAGCTGAAAGTGCGCCTCTCGACTGGATACTAGTCAACGACCATCTCTGTGCTGTTCGAATGAATGAATCTATAAGAACTAGGAAGGATCGTGAGACTAGGCAGTGTCTATTCATAATCTCTGCCTAGTCACTTACCGAATGTAGTTTGGATGATGCAACGGATGAATTCTAATAGAAGCTGTCAAGTTTGCTACAGAAAGGGAAATGTTCCGATGTAGTTATAATGGCAGGTGACTTTAATGCTGAAGTAGGGGAGCTGACTCAATCGGAAAAGTATCTGCGAAATCCCATATCGATGAACCAACAACGGTAACCGTTTGTTGCAATTCGCTCCGACAATCATTTGTCTCTGACCAGCATTAACTTGAGGCATAAGAAGAGACATGGTCTCACATGGTGTCCGCCGACTTCAAACCATTGGTGAGTTTAGATAGATCACATTACGATAAGCCATTGTAGGATTGCTGCTCTTTCTAGAGTACTTGTTTGGCCTTCGATCACACTCTACTACGGTTTCGTGTTTGTCTGCGCCTTACTGGCTGCGGGTAACAGGTGTCAGTAAAGCCTGTCTATGGTGGATTAGAAGATAAGAACGTCAGGTCCGAATTTAGCAAGGAGATAGCTAAGCATTTATCTGAATGTGACAGCAATGCTCATCCTATGAAACCTGGGGTGATACTAAGTCTGCTGCAGAAAAAGCTGTAAAGACAGTTAGTAACATACACATGAAGTTTAGCAAGTGTCATTGGATTTCCGCAACACCATCCGAACTGATTGATGCTAAAAGACTGATTCCAGCTGGCTATGATCACAATGAAGAGCGAAAGCAATGTAAGTTGACTAAGAGTCTTTGCGTCAATCGCGAGCAGTGGTGAGTTGCGAAATAGATGAAGAAGGCATCAGCACTAGGTAACACTCGGCAACCGTTTAGGGTCATTAACGGTACCGCCAAGATGAAGACGATAGTGAATGAAACCACTACTTAAAAGGGTGGGACAATGATAACCTCACTGGACAAGCGGCTGGAATGTTGGGGAGAACACTTCGAAGCACAGTTCTGCTGGCCCTCAGCAACACTTCAGTCGCCCAACATTCAGCCTTAACCTAAATGGGACGTTGATGTCGGTCCTCCAACTCCCTTGAAGTTGAGAAAACTTTATCGAACCTGAAACAGTAGAAACCAGCAGGACCTAACAGTTCGCCACCTGAAATTCTCAAGGACGGAGGTAGTAGTGGTAGTGTGTGAGAATCAGAGTTGATGCCTCCCGACTGGTATACTTCTCTGATCATCCCAGTCTACATGAAGGGAGAGGTCTTTTGTGACAACCGTAGGGGA